GTAGTAGGGGGTTTAGTATAGGAATACCTCAGTTGTTTCTATAGCCTCTCGGGCAGCGGCTGAGGTATGTTACATTACATTTATTAGAGATCACCTTAAACTAACATCTATTGTAGTTTCACTTAGATAAATAATAAAGTCATTTCTATAGCCTCTTGGGCAGCGGCTGAGTTTCACTTAGTTTTGTTAGGCGCTTCCTGATCAATATGCCCACTTCACTTCATCTCTCCTGCTTCTGGGCACCTTGGATAAGACTCAGCTCAGGGATGCTTTCCTTGCTGAAGAGGTCAATCACTGTTGTCGTGCTGAAGTCAATTCTGCCTTGCATTTCTCGTCTACCACTGCCAACAGCACCTGCACCCATCCTAACTGCCATCATTGCAACCAATTCACCACCTCTACTTGCTTTCAGCGTGATTTCTGCAGTTTACTTGGTCATTCCCAGGATAAATGCCACAGATACATTGCTAGTCGCCAACAGGCTGTGGAGAGCGCTAAGAATTGCTACAAGCGTGGTAATAAGGCTCAGGCAGGCTCCAGCAACTCTCAGAATACCTCTCAGCAGCCCAAATCTTCGCCCAACAATGCCAATTCATCTACTGTGGTCACTGAATCAGCTGGAAATGCAAGTCTTCGTTCCATTCATCCCTCTGATCCTCACTGCCCTCTCCAACTTGATGCTGACATTGATTGGAATGCAGACACAGGCGCCACTTCTCATATGACACCTCATCGTCATTGGGTGCACCACTATACCCCATATCGTGTGCCAATCAAGCTGGCTGATCACACTGTTGTCTATTCAGCTGGTGTTGGTACTGTGGTGTTTAATCCTGTGATGAATGGCAAAGTGGCTAGGGCTGTGGAATTCTCTAGAGTGCTCCATGTACCAGACTCTCGAAATAATCTCCTCTCAGTCTTGTATTTAACTCATCAAAGTGGTTTCAATGTCACTATTTCGTCTCATTCCATGTCCTTTATGCGTGACAACACTCTCTTGTTCACTGCAACTATCAATGACAACAATGCAGCATTCCTTGATGGATCTACTGCTGCTTGTGTTGAATTGGGACATTTTACTGCGACTATACCACTTGATTTGATGCTCTGGCATCGCAGATTGGCTCACCACCATCATGCTGATGTCAAGAGACTGATACAGAGAGATCTGGTCACTGGGCTTACACTTGAATCCAAGACTGCTCCTGATCCTGTCTGTGAACCGTGCTTGTCTGCCAGAATGCATGCCAATCCATTCCCCTCATCTGATACTCGCTCTGCTCATCCTTTGGATCTCATCCATTCTGATGTACACCAAGTCTCTTCCCCCACATTCTCTGGTTATCGCTACTGGGTCACCTTCATTGACGATCACAGTCGATTCCGTGTTGTTGTGCCTCTCAAGGCCAAGTCAGATGTCTTTGATGCTTTCAAGAGATTCAAGGCTTATGCTGAGACTCAATTGGAGCGTAAAATCAAGGCTCTGCGCGATGACAAAGGGGGAGAGTACATGTCCAAGGAATTTGAGCAATTCACAGATGACCATGGCATTGTCAGACAGCATACCACCAGGAATTGTCCTCAGCAGAATGGTGTGACAGAGCGAGCAAACAGACTTCTGACTGAGCGTATCACTGCCACGTTATCAAAGTCTGCATTGCCTAACAGCTTCTGGGGTGAATGTCTGTCCGCTTTGGTGCATGTCTGGAACAGGTGTCCCACTGATGCAGTGGCCCATGCCACTCCCTTTGAGTTGTGGTATGGACGCAAGCCTGACATATCTCACCTTCACGTTTGGGGCTGCACTGCCTATGTGCATGTGCAAAAGGACAAAAGAGGTGTCTTTGGCTCTCATATGGAGAAATGTGTGTTCATTGGTTACCCTGAGGGGTACAAGGGATGGAAATTCTACAATCCTACCACCAAGTGCACTGTTATCTCTGAGAGCTGATTTTGATGAGCGCTACTTCCCTGGCTTGAAAAGGTCTTCTGACAATGTCCCGCCTCCACCTCCCACTCCACCTTCGCTATCCATGCCATTGGGCCTGATTGAGGATGTCCCTGCACCAGGTCCAGGGGGAGATATGGGCCCACCAGCTGCGCTTCAGCAGCCTCAGCCATTGCCTGACAATGGGCCTCATTTGGACCTTGATGCAAAACCACCTGTGAATCAACCTCCTGTGCTTCCAAATCACCCTCCTCATCGCTCACCTTCTCCTGACTTGCCTATTGCACTGAGACGCCCTGTAAGAGCTAGGAGACCACCTAGACCATGGTGGCTTCAACACAGACAACCTACTCCTGCCATTGAGAGTGATGACAGTGATTCTGAGGCAGTTGATGATGAAGTGGCACACTTTGGAGACTCTGCTGAGCCTAGGTCATTTGCAGATGCAATGAAGCGTCCTGATGCAGATAAATGGAGAGAGGCAGCCATGGAAGAGCTTCAAGCTCATGAGCGCAATGGTACTTGGTCACTAGTGGAACTACCTCCTGGAGTCAAGGCTATTGGTGGCAAGTGGGTCTTCAAGTTCAAGCGCAACTCAAATGGCACTGTTGAGCGCTACAAGGCCAGATATGTGGCCAAAGGTTATAACCAGCACCCTGGCTTTGTTTTCCTCAAAATATTTGCACCTACTGTCCGCATATCATCCATCAGAGTTGTCCTTGCCATTGCAGCCATCCACAACCTCCATTTGCGCTCCATTGACATTTCCCATGCATTCCTGAATGGAGTCATGGATGTCAAGGTCTACATGCATCAGCCAGAGGGATTCCATCAGGGTCCTCGCAATCTTGTTTGCCAGTTGGACAAGGCCATCTATGGGACAAAGCAGGGAGGCAGAATGTGGAACCAGAAGATGCACACTGTGCTTGAAAAACTCGGATTCAAGCGTACTTATTCAGACTCTGCCATCTATGTCTTTAACAGAGCTGATGTGCGCATTATCCTGCCTGTCTTTGTTGATGACATAACACTGGCATCCACTTCTACTTCTGCACTTGACCAAGCTGTCAAGGACCTCTCCCTGCACTTTAAGCTCCGTGATCTTGGCCCTACTTCTTACCTACTTGGCATTTCCATCACTAGAGACCCAAGTAATCGCACCATCTCCCTCTCCCAACATCAGTACACTCTGGACATTCTGGAGCGCTTTGGTATGAAGGACTGCAAGCCTGTGTCCACTCCCATGGATCCTGGTTTGCGCCTCACCAAGGACATGTCTCCCAAAACATCCAGTGATGCTGCTTTGATGAAGGACATTCCCTACCTTGCTGCTGTTGGTGCTCTGATGTATCTGGCCACTACCACTCGTCCTAACATTGCCTACACTGTTGGAGTCCTTGCCAGATATAACTCTAATCCTGGTCTTACTCACTGGAGCGCTGTCAAGCACTTGTTCCGCTACTTGCAAGGCACCCTTGATCATTCCCTTGTCCTTGGTCCTGATCCCAATTCCACTGAACTCTTCACCACTTTCTCTGATGCTGATCTTGGTGGTGACAAGGACTCTGGTCGTTCTACTGGTGCCTATATTGTCAAGATGGGATCTGGTGCTGTCTCCTGGAGCTCCAAGCTTCTGAACATTGTTGCTCTGTCCACCACTGAAGCAGAATACATTGCTGCTGTTGAGGCTGGCAAAGAGATTTGCTGGATGCGAAATTTGTTGAAGGAAATGGGCTATCCTATCACCTCTCCTTCCACCCTTCATATTGACAACCAATCTGCCATCTCTGTATCCAAGAACCCTGAGCACCATGGTCGGATGAAACACCTTGATCTGCGATGGCATTGGTTGAGAGATGTTGTTGACTCTGGGCAGATTGCTCCTACCTTTGTTCCCACTGCTGAAATGCCTGCAGACTTGTTGACCAAGGCTCTTGCCAAGCCTAAAGTGGAAGTGTTCAGGAAGATGATGGGACTTATTAGATCAGGGGGGAGCTGATGCTTGGGAGGTGCAGCATCAGGGGGGAGTGTTAGTTTTGGTGATTCTGCACCTTTGTGCTACCTATATATTTTCATTCCTTTCTCTATCTATTCTTCTATCATTCACTATTGATTGTGTTCTCTATTATTTCGCCTTTGTGGCTGCTTTGTTTACCTTTGTTTACAAAACTTCAGACAGTACTGCAGAGTCCAATGCTTCCTATTCTCTAGTTACTCACATTGGACTCTAGTTCCAGTCCCTGATTGCTCTCAGCAAGTGGCTAGACACTTCCTTCAAGCTTTGTTCTTAATAAAAGGACCATGTAGACCGCAATTATAATACTTACGAATCCCAGGGCACCACAGCGTTTTCACATCTCCTTTCTGCCACTCTTTGAACCTCTCATCATCGAGCACCCATCCTCCCGTTCCATCTCGCCAAGTCTCACAAACTTCGCTCTGCCTTTGACGAAAATTCAGAGGAGACAGCCAGTTTCCGAATTCCTGGCGTTCTTTCAAGGTAGCCGAACTATCAACTGCGTTATATTAGACTACATTCAGGCCGAAGACGAAGATATATCATACAGTTATCTTGAGTATAGTGGTCGATCGTCGTTTGATTTGTTTGATAGGCATGGACTTCATTGTAAATATATTGCACTACATTCAAGCCACCGGGGAAAACATGTCCTTACGGTTATCTTGAGTATAATTCAGCGTGTGAGTTGTTTGAAAGGCATGGATTTTGTTGTTGATTTGACGGCCATGGACGTCGTTGTTTATTTGATAACCATTGCCATAGACTTCGTTGAATTTGCCATAGCGAGCGTCGACAGGATTAGATGGCTGATTTGTTTCAGGGGCATGGTCTTCGTTGTTGCTTTGACAGCCATGGTCATGAGCGTCGGCAGAGTTAGACTGTTTATTTGTTTGAGGGCCATGGTTTTCGTTGTTGACTTGATGGCCATCGCCATGGACTTCGTTGAATCTACCATAGCGAGCGTCGACAGAATGAGATCGCGCCACCATGCCTCCGACGTCAACATCGCGGACATGCGAGGGTGAGGACCCCGGAGTAGTCATGTCTGTCGATTGGCAAAACCACTCGCGATGAACTGGAACTCGACAACACCGCGAGGAAGCAAAGATGTACTGTGTGTGCACGGATATGACAAGAGGGGACGTGGCAGGCTGCTAAACACCATGCAATCTTTATTTATCCACGACTTGACGCCCAACCTTTCCCATCGAAACTTGAAGGCTGCGTTGACAATGGCGATGACTTGGACGCCTATGGCGTGGATTTTGACAGGTTTCTTATCAAGGATGTCTTGGAGTGCTTGAAACGCATGACTATCAGCGAACCCGTGCGTAGTCCATAGTCTGATACCTGTTCTGCGAGCGCTCACAATGAATGACTCGAACTCTGTCCTATTAATTCATTCTCGCTTTTGTTAGCCCCTAGCGCTCAAGGTATGAGAATTCCACAATTAGTCTGAATCTCTGTATCGACAGTATCGTGATAACAGCCTAACGCACTTCGCAGCTAAACATTATCCGCTGAAGCTTTTTCATCTGTATACTAAATGCTATCAGAAGATACTACACACGGTGAATCTCACTGTTGATATATCACGAGGCTGCATTCTTCACCATCTTGGTTCACATATAAATAGTGTCTTCCCGAATATCGTCAGGCCTACTGATCAAAGCTTGCCCAACCTTGATTGACGCCAAGTTTTTTCCATTCCCTCATGTGTGCGTGCGGGACCGACTCTAGCAGTAGTTCAACATCTGTACCAAATACATCACCTCCCGAATGCCTGTGATATGTCTCATCAACTGTCATTCAGGAAAACCGTACGTCTTTGCCTTCATCTAAAGGACACCTTGTTGATGATCCCCATATCCTGCCCAGTGGACTTTGCGGACCTCACTATCATCGATTTGGTCGAGGCCCAGACTTCAGAAGGTCATGTGGAACTTTATCCTCAAATGCGTGATGTCTTTCGCTCGAATGGATTCATGGACGCTATCAACCATGGATACACGCGAGCTCAGGTTATTGATCACTATCTCCCCAAGTTCTTTTTTCCAGTCTCAACTAGGTGTTGTACCATCTCTATACCTAGCGTGACCAAATTTTATCTTTCGACGCAGCAGATGTGCCTTTCGCAGTTGTGCTCCAAAGCAAGATGAAAACCTACATAGCGACTGCTGCAAAGGTGGGGTACAAGGCTCGTTAGTATTGGGTGACGCTACCATTTGGACTTTCAAAGCTTAAACGAATGACTTACCATGGTAGCGTATTGATGCTGAGAAACAAGTTCTTAATCAGATTGAACACTATGGAAGTAAACCCCTAGCTCACCTACCTATAGGCTCGGTAAGCGTTATAGTGCCTACTGTAGTCAACAGAAACGTGTACGAACGTCCTTACCTACAAGCTCTACACCCCTTTCTGGCTCAAATCGACGCCTTTTCAAAATTATGCCAACGAATTTTAACAGATCTTGAAGCGCATCGTGGATAACCTCTGAAACATTGCCTGTTCATGCTACAAGACAGGCGCCTCGAGCTCCCAGAAGATACCCTGGTGAAGAAACACAAGTTTAGTGCAGCTGGCAGGTCAGCGATTGTCGAGTTATGTGCAGACAGCGATATCTCCTCATCCACACCATGAGCAGCACGTTTCATGAAATAGCGATGTTTTTTTTAACTACATACCGCGATTCCAATGACATATTACCAGCTACAAACTGTTTGAGGTTGAAAACATGCTATCGAAGAATGTGCGGCTGAATGGACACACCATCTTGTTGAGTTAGCCTGTTGGTGGTCTACAGATCCTGTGGAATGACGGAAAGTGGAGATGAGTACTAAGGCTCATACACCGGTAAGATATCCCTCATAAAATGTATTCCAGACTACAGAAAGATCCCCTCCAGACCTTATCTCAGGCCTAACTCACAGACATTCATGCGAGCCTGTTCCTTGCAATTGACAAATGGGATGTGGTTGATAGTATATGCGCCGACGGTATCGATAGGGTCACATCTTCAATTGCAAGAGAGCCGAGGTTGCGCAGGGAAAAATCAATGAAAAATCAATCCAGCCGGAAATATAGCCTTGTTCAGTCCGTTATTCATCTCGCAGGTTTACTGTGCTGAATCACATAAAAATGAGAACGAGGTCAGAAAGTAAAGAACGGTGCTCACTATGCATATACCTTGGTTGTACTATATCCAACTCAGTGTATCATAACTTAGGCTGCTATCGTCATGTTGCGATAGACGTAGGCCAAGTGGAGACTCCAGAGGTGTGTTTACTTATAATGTGAACATCGTATGCGTCGTGATGGCTAGTTTGTTCACGTCCTAGTCACAGTGCCGCAGAGTTACTCGTCAAGCCAAATTTTAATTATTTTTTCTCGATGCGCTGATGATACCACAGGCATGGGCTGCATTGTCGCAATAGCACATCCAAGGAACTTCTGGAAAATAACGTGTAGGGCACTCGTAGTCGGGTGAAACCTCAATTTGTGTAGCACATTACCACAACAAAATACATTTCCTTTTTGATTGCGCTTGTATGAAGGTCAGGACACACTACAAAATGTTGGCACAATGCTACATACTCCGAAAACGACAGTCATGATCGAATACAATGGGTTCATCAGTCGTAGAAAACAAGAACTCTTAGCTCAATCGACTCTCGCAGAGGGGCATCTTCTGGAGTCGTCGGATCCTGGAATCCTGTGTGGGGAGTCATAACCGCTACGCTGCCGTCTTGCACAGAGTCAAAGCTAGAATATCAGGCGATATTAGCGGTGTGAACCATTCCTAAACGATCAAACGCCCGCCCCCACCCCCCAAGAATTTGAATGAATAATCATAATACGCACCATTTGATAAGCACGAGCTCGTCCGGTTCCATGCCCCTGAGATACTTCCACTTGTGATTTGGGTTGTATCTAATACCCAATATCTCCCCTTCCCTATCCGGATAGATCAGTGCAACCGGTATCAAATCCTTTTTGGCGACACTACGATAATCGCACAGCGCGAGGGGCCAACCAAGAGCTGCGTGAGAGATGGGGCGCCAGAGATTGATGATCTGGAAACGGCGGCGAAGGAGAGCAGGCGCATCAGTGGGTGGGAGATGACGATGGACGCGAGCTATGGAGGACGCTGTGGTATGGTCGACATGGACAAGAGAGACTGGTTGACGCCTTTGTGGGCTATCGTCTGCTTCCCCTGGTCGATGGCGTCGAATAGCTGGGATAAGGGGTTGAGCAAGTCAGAAGACAACCTGTGATATGCAGAGACAATGAACATACTGTGGTCAAATATGACAGCACTGCTCGCGCCTGTTAGTTATTTGATGAGCTCGGTGCTCTCTGGGTAATAATCTCTCTCGATCTCAGCATCATCTGTGAAACTGGTATGCTTGGCGGGGCGGCGGTAGAACTGGAAGCCAGAATTATCGAGAGTGTAATCGTCCTCACTTCCACGGACGTTCTCGATCTGAGCTTCGTGATCGTCCTCTACCCAACTACGGTCAGCCTTGCCAGTCACGGGATCAGCGTTAATATTGGTGTACACTCGCCGCCCATCTGACGGAGGAAGGAAATATTTGAGGTGTGCGCTCGTTGTGGAGCTCATTGTCGATGTTCAGATATGCTCCAACCTCTCAAGGTCCGGATACAGAAGGACAAGAGTATTGTATGGCGACATCCTTTCGGGATATATATGTTGCGAAAGCTGAAGCGCTGAAGAGTCAGCTGAGAAGGGAGCGTGAAAGTTGCGTGCTTGGCTTACACACCTCACTTCCTGGCATGTTTTTCCTACGATTATGTCTATTGTTTCCTTAGTAATCCTAGGAAGCAGGAGTTAAGAACGAGAAATGAGTCATCGGGTCTCAGGCTGGTTCAATACATACCCAGTGATCGCCACAGGGTGCCGTGCTATCAGTCTACATAGCTGGTGCGTGTCTATGTCTCACCCACGGTTTAACGGTAACTGTTACAAGATGCATGACGACCTTTGGAGTATACACAGGTGAACTTCCAAGTTTGGCGATCTACTTTTGGTGAGACCTCGCCATGTCGACACGAAAACGCACCCAGCGGATTGGCACTTTGGTGAGATGAGGTACTGTACGACAGAGTAAAACTGCTGGAACAGATATTGTATTTGAGTCCATCGCACTGAGAGGCGATGGCCAAAACGCTGTAGACTCGGACTTGTTGATCCTCGGTTGCAAATGAGGATGACTAAGATGACTAACCCGATCCCACATCACTACTTACTAGCACTACTGCTACAACGGTGACTGCGATCGATTCATTGGTTGCGCCTTGCCCAGATGAGTGACGAAGCAAGCCCCTGGAGAGATATGTCAGATTACGGCTGAGCGATGTTCCGACATTCGCCATTGCGGTACTAGGAGTGAGATTGGAGAGGTTAGTCAGACTCATCACACGTCATAGATTCTCTTTCTTACATTTCAGCCTGGTCCAGATCATATGAAGCCTATAAAGCCTATCAGCACCGACTTCTACTTGCTTAACGCTTTTCATAACCCACACCTCCAGATCCTTCACAAATGTCTTCTTCTGTTCCTGCCCAGCTCATCTACTTCGTTCCGCCGCCTGATGGCTCTGCTCCATTCACCCGAATTAATGTCGACCCTTCTTCAGGACAGAGTCCCAGAAATTGGGTTCCAGAAACACACACCGTAGAAATCAACAATATCAGAGGAAAGGAGCACGAGTTCACACTTGATAAGGCTGGCTATCAGTATTATAAGAGGTTTGCAAAGCACCAAGCATTTACGAATGACGAGGATATTAAGAACGAATATTACCCGGAGAGCGCCGAACTCATCAAAGAGCTCACTGGTGCGAGTAAAGTCGTCCTCTTTGACCACAGTACGTCTTAATATCGACTGCCATTACACGATGCAGACATTGAATTTTTACCATCTTTACAGCTATTCGGCGTCGCCGACCTGGACAGTCGAGCGATGACGAATCTAAACGTCAGCCTGTTTCTCAGGTCCACGTTGACCAGACGCCTGCAGCTGCCGTCAACCGTGTACATCGTCACCTCCCTGCCGAAGAAGCGGAAGTGTACGTGAAGAAGCGTTTCCAGATCATTAATCTCTGGCGTCCCATCACACATCCTGCCGTGGACTATCCACTTGCACTATGTGACTATACAAGTGTCAACCAAGAGACTGACCTGGTTCCAGTCAAACTCATCTTTCCTGACCGGGAAGGCGAAACGTTCGGTGTTAAATTCAACCCGAACCACAAGTGGAATTATTTGAAGGAGATGACACAGGACGAGTTGGTACTGATTAAATGGTACGTCTGTGACATCTGCATGTTGAGTTCACGTTCCAATCATATTCTTGACCCAGCTACGATTCTGCGAAGATCAAGGATCTAGCGGTCTTCACACCACATACCGGCTTCTTGGACAAAAGTGCACCCAAAGACGCGCCTTTGCGAGAATCTATCGAGTTGAGGGCTCTCGTTTTCTACGATTAGGCCAAAACCTGTAGTGATATATATGTCGCCTGGCTGCTTTCTCAATTGTAGTGCTAGGTCCGCGTACCGATAATCATGTAGACTACAGGAACGGTGATCTTATATAGACCATGGACAAGCATAAGTTGTATAAACGAGTAACGGGTACCGGGTTCGCCCGTCGTTCACAGCGTACCGGTGGCGGTCGTGCCAACCTGCTCATTGCCAGCGGCTACTTGGACCACTAACCTGCTAAAGGAAGAGTCTTTGTTCTCCTAGTATTCACCAGTCGTTACAATCATTCAAATGTCAGATATATCAAAAGCACCGAACGCTACTTATACTTACATCGCAACCACATCATTACTTCCTCTTCTTGTGCGAAGGATTCGCCATTGTGCGTATCCATCCAGTCCCTGTTTCTCCGGCCAACTATAGCCAGAAACTGATAAGAACATTTTGGCGAGAATAGTGCCTGCTATTCTTTCACACACAGATAGATAATCACTCGCGATTTGACTAAACCTTTTTTGTCCCCATCGGTCCAAGAGGGTGTCTACACCTTGAAATATTTCTCACCTTCAATAGAATGCACCACTGTTCTACACAGGAAAGCATGATGTAGTGCATATAAGTCGGCGCGCCAGAGCTACCCAGATAAATATTTTCCCATACCTTGATTCACCCCTCTCAGACGTTCTGCTCATGTCAGCCGAAGCTCAGCTCGAGGCGCTCCTCGCCATCATCAACACTTCTGCGCGACAGGCTATTGCAGAGTACAAGAAGAGTGGAGATGTACCCACCATAAACTCAACGAGCCCACATCCCCTTGATTCCGCCGCGGACACGGTAGCTTTGAAGAAAGCGGTGAGGTTGTTGGAGGGGGCTTGCCAGCAGCTTTGTGTCTCCCTGGCACCACCTCAGCACACTCTGATCAATGTAAGAGCGACGTTCTAGGAATATGGTTCCTGATGATAAATATTTCCCTTCAAATGAACTCATAGCTCACAGAAAACTTTGACTGGGCATGCGCCGGCGCTGCCATTCGTGCCAAGATTGCCGACGTTTTGGCCGACTTTCCGAATGGTCTGCATGTAGCAGAGCTCGCTGACATCGTGCACATCGAGAAGGGAAAGCTATGTCGTCTTCTGAGAGTACTCGCATGCAAAGGCTGTTTCCTGGAGGGTACGTTTGGGATTTCATGCACAATTCGACCCCCCGGACCTGACTAAATGCGCACATTTCTCGCCTATAGTCGATGTGGACGTCTTTGCGAACAATCGCTTGTCTCTAATGTTGAAATCATCTTCGAATGTTTCGTGTCTGGCTCGGATTTACGCACAGGACGTTTCACAAGCTGCTGAATCATTATACGAGACTTTGGTAGACCCGGACTTTGCTGCTTCGTATGAACCAGACAAAGCCCCGTTGATTTATGCTCTCAGAAAACGTAATATTCAAGGCAGCTTCTTTGACTGGATGAGGGAGGACGTACGTTGCATTACCTGTACTCATACATCGCTTCAATTTTCTAAATCGAATTCAACAGGATGAAAGGCGTGAGGTAAGTCACTCAACGGTCTCAACCCGAGTTCTGTGGTCTTACATCAAAGCAGAACTACCATCGTGCAATGGTTGGCTTGGGCGATGTCATGGGATCGCTCTCAGTGCTACATCGTGAGTAACACTGTTTATAAATCAGTAAAGATGATTCAGCTCTCCGATAGATTATCCTTGGAATGAGGTTTCAACGGTCTGTGATGTCGGCGCTAGTATTGGAACCTTCTCTCTACCTTTGGCCAAGAAATTCCCTCACCTCAAGATCACAGATCAAGACCTTCCCGAGGTGCTCGTACAGGCGACCGAGGTACTTTCCTATCACGAAGCAATTCTACTTTGTTCACTCGCATTTCTTCCCAGGTCTGGCAAAAAGATGCACCCGAGGCTGTTGAGGAAAAACGAATTGAATTCATCCCATTGAACTTCTTCGAGGAGATACCCGCCCAAGGGAAGGACGTTTATTATGCAAGTCTTCACCTTTTGGTTACTATCGAGGCTCTTGTTTACCAAAGGCATTAGCTGCGGAATATAATCCACGACTGGCCTGACGCTGAGGCAGCTGTAATAATCCGAAACGTTCGACGAGCAATGGCACCCCATAGCCGGCTTCTGATTCGTACGTAACGATACCCAGACGATCATCGTGGAAATCTCACCGAGTCTCTCATTCACAGACGATTACGTTCTTTCATCTGCAAGTCCGAAGTTGCGGTCTAGTACCCTCGGACAAGAATTAGTTGGTGTCGTGTTTTCCCCTTCTGTTGTTCCTGTTCCTGTCACATGTTCTAATTTGCCACGCCGATCGAACAGGCCCCTGAACCGATGTTGCCTAACTTTGGCTCTGGGAATATTCGGATGTACCAGCAAGACCTCAACATGTGGTTCATCCATAATGCCAAGGAGCGCACGGTACAGGATTCCGTGACTCTAGGGTTAGTCCAGCCTTCACAGACGGAAAGACTTCTTTTGTTGACTACTTGTTGTTTATTCTGCACTCCATAGAGCTGCTGCAGGCCTACGGCTCGAGAAAATATACGATCTCGCGGAATCGTCTGTGCTGGAGTTCAGAATAGCGTGATGTGTTTTCTTGAGCAGGCGACGCAGGGTTGTAGTACGTCAATATCATCCACTTTTGTTTTATCCCTCCTACTGAATCTCTCTATCCCCAGCAGTGTATTTTTTATATATCTCTTTCATTGTACCACGTAGATGAGTCTCGCACATGAGTGCGTGACAGGGTCCCTGTCGATATTATTCCGGCGGTCCTCAACGGACAAAGGGTGAAACCTGCAGATTTTTCGAAAAATAAAGCAATGTATTCTTTCACTAGCAGTCACGAAGACTACCCGATAGTCTGATAAGATGTGATCAGGTTCCTCCCCCTTCCAGCTTAGGTTTCAGGGGTAGAGAGATAGATCGCCCTCTCACTTGAAATGAAGAGCTTATTATGGTCATATCAAACTGGTAAATTGTTGATAAGATCTCGTCTGGTTTTCCGTGTGGATGTTCCTCGATGTGGATTGTCCTGGATTGTCGCACGTATGTCTGAACTCGTGCGAAAGCCGCGGTGAAGCCTATGCGAGCGGACTCGGAGTGGACTAAAGTTAAGCTTGAGCTCTTCTTTGAACTACCGTCCTCGATCCCTAGCAAAGTTGCTGCTGCTGCAGGGAATGTTGCGTGCACACTCCTGATTATACCTTACAGGATCGAAGATGATCGTCACTTGAAAACTACTAGTATCTTAGCACCCGGCATCTATAGCTAACTTAATCCCAAACATATCGGAACCTCAGGCAATCATGGTTTATTTCTATCGTACCAAGAACAGAGGCCCTTATCTTTCGTGTTTGTCATGATACCGGTCTTCTCAGCCACGGCTGTGTCCCCAGTTTCTCTAATTGCGCCTATCAGACCCGCAGTAACTGAACTAGTACCCGGACGGTCGTTAAAGCCTAAAGCTTGTCTTTTTGGGCGTTGCACGACAAGTTTTGTTACCACTGTGTAACCAGAGATTTGACTAGACAAAAGTTTCAGACAACTTCAATCAAGATCACTCACGCAGTCACCGTGGACTCTCGGACTCTGAACTTGACTCGGAAAGTCTTGTAACTTCGCATGAGTTTACCCTTCTCTGCAGACCAATATTCCCTTGTCATCAACGGACCATCCCACGTTGAATGGTTGTTTCTCCCAAGGTCCATCGGTTCTGTGACTATGACCCCATTTATCAATCGAAAAGAGGTTGTCCGGCACGGAAAACTCCCATTTTGTGAGTGAACCTGAGTGCCGCTCTGACGGATTTGAATTCGATGGGCAGGGTCGCTTCTACCGAAGGCAATTCATGGCCCAGATGAGTGGATGCTGTATCCCATGGTCACCATCTGTCCAGGAGGATCATCATCATCAATTGCTTGTGCAGAGGCCGTTCGTACAAGGGAATTCCTCGTTTTGTCCGAGGGGATAAGTGGTGTGAAAGAGGATGATGGATTTATACAAGATGCTTAAGGCTTGGAAGCCTCTACTCCATCGTCCGCCGTCTTTGAATCTCCACAATGGAGGCCGCACTCGCGTTTTCTAAAGAAGCATTTGACTATATTGTTATAGGCAAGTCCTGATAGAACCAATGTGACTTGGTTCTTTTTACCTGATTTGGGATTCTGGGTGACGCAGGAGGAGGAACGACAGGTCTCGCTTTGGCAACGCTGTAAAAGCACTCGCATCTCCAAACGCTGACTGTTACTGACGAGATATCATATCAGACTATCAACTGACTCTAAAGTGAGGGTCGGAGTCATTGAAGCTGGTCTAAGAAAAGACGATGATTTTATACTTGTACCTGGTAGGTTTTCTGCAAAGATTGAGGTTCAAATACTCTCCACTCATCAGGGTCCGATCCTCCAAAGGCATGATCGGGAAGGTTCTTGGCAGTATGTGTAGTGTTTCCTTCTACGAGTATTTCCTAACGTGTACCCAGATCCCGATTATGACTGGAACTTTTACTCGGTCCCTCAAGGAGCTGCTAATGATCGTCGAATTGCGATAAATCGCGGGAAGGTACTTGGAGGGTCATCAGCCCTCAACTATATGGCTTACACGAGGTATCAATGATTGTCTGCTCTGAATTATTTATCAATTGATGTCCTCATCTTAAGAGGGTCACAGATAGAACATGATGGTGCGTGAATATCTTTCTGCTATCAAGTCTATAGAGGATAACAGTATGGTTCCATGCCATCTGTCCACTTACAGATTGGGAGGCACTCGGTGTTACTGGTAAGTTTCAGTGTTGCAGGCTAGCTGAATTACCTCAACTTCATGGTAAAGGATGGAACTGGAGCATTATACAGGATGCCGTGAAAGCATCTGAAGCTTGGAGCCCTCCTTCAGACTATGCTATGAAACACCATGCGGATAATAATGCGGAAGAGCATGGAAGGTAGGATAAAACAATAGCGAGAAAATTACCACGAGTGACTGAACCCTCCAAGGAATGGCTATGTCAAAACGACAGCATATAGCTACTATTTTGATTTAGCTCTCCCTTTTTTCAAGACTCTAAATGAGATGGGTGTGGCAACCAACATGTCAGAGGTGTGTGGTTCTGTAACTTCTTTTGGAAACCGTTGTGACTTCTTTTATGTGTCTTGTAATCAGTCTTCCGGGGATCTTATTGGGATTTGGACGTATACCGCTTCGATTGATCCCGTGACGGGCTCACGGAGTTACAGTACCAATGTAAGTTTTTTTGCAATATATTTCGTCCAAAACTGAAATGCTTTATAGGCGTACTACGACCACGTTGCAGACCGTCCAAACATAGTTGTTCTGACAGGTGCACATGTCACCAGAGTACTGTTGGATGACAACATGAATGGCCCTAAACGAGCTCAGGGAGTAGAATATTCCGTGGGGGGCCAAGTATATTCCGCTGGTGCTCTGCGTGAGGTGATCATCTCTGCAGGTACTGTCGTTACTATCGCAGTCGTAATATGTCCTTAATAAGCCGTTGTGTGTAGGTGCTTTGCAGACGCCCCAGGTGTTGGAACTTTCTGGTAAGCACATGTTGATGTTGTTATGCAATGGAGAAATTTCATGTTTAAAACGTGGATAGGTATTGGAAACCCTGATATAATGCGCCGACTTAACATACCCGTGAAAGTTGACCTACCAGGCGTAGGCGAAAATCTTCAGGTACTTGTCCTATCCATTGATTACTGGACAGAAGATCTTAGTGCATGAATTACAGGATCACTTTACCGTACGTATGGGGGCCGAACTCCGAGGTATACACGAAACAGTGGACGATTTGTCTTTGGATACATTTGCCGAAGAGAAGTTAAAGCAATACAAACAGTCAAAATCAGGAATGCTTAGCAGCACCCTTTCGACTCTTGTGTTCTTACCAGCACAAGCTTTCATTGGTCCAGATGTAATGAAGACCATGCTCGATTCTCTGGATAAGGCACTTCGAGATACTACCATGCAAAACTCCCCTTGGAGACAAGTATACGAAGTGCAGCGATCCTGGCTTGAGAAGAACGGCGTTGCCCAACTGGAGATGATCCTGTTCCCATGTAAGTAGTGCACTTTGCTGAATAATGTGCTCAACTCATCCGGATCTTTCTGCAGCATATCAACATGCTTCATGCACGACCGAGAATGCTCGACATTACACCTTATCTGTTTTCCTCCAGCATGCATGGTGTCGAGGACATGTCAGACTATATTATTGCGCGTTTTTATATTGATAACTGAAGCCTAAGTACAGGTTCATGCAGTGTCACCTTCTGCCCTCGATCCTCCTGAAATCGATTTAGGGACGCTCCGCTCACCAGGGGATATAGGCAAGTACCATTGTATGTATTAGAATGTTATTCTCAATCCCTGCAGATATGATCATGCTAGTCGAAGCCATTAAATATGCATTCAAGGTGATGCAGACTGGACCACTTGGCGAAGAGACAGCTAAGATCATCGAGCCACTGCCAACATGGTCAGACAGTGAGCTTCGGGAATACGTGCGCACAAATGTCATCAGCGCATTCCATCCTATTGGTTCGTCACGTCTTAGTAGAACGACATAAGAAAAGATGGAGATAACTCTTGATTTAGGAACTGCTTCTATGCTCCCTCGTTCGCAGAATGGAGTTGTCGACAATAATTTGAAGGTAGGGCATTGTTCAAGTTACGTTTCAAAGTAAATCTTTTAACTTTTTGCGCATAGGTCTATGGTACTTCAAATCTCAGAGTGGTTAGTAATTCCTTGTCACATCGTCAATTGGTTGCTCATGTAGCTCGTAACGTACAGGCTGATGCGAGTATCTTTCCAATCGTAAGTCACATTAACGTATCCTGAAGATTCCTGACCATACTTTAATCATATTCGCCATTTCAGCATCTGGGTACTCATCCTCAAGCTACTCTTTATGGGTAATCTATAAAAGCTTATCCTTCATGATGAGCTACATGGCTAACTTATAACCCCTCCAGGTTGGCCCATAGAGCTGTTGACATCATCAAACAAAAGGCAAGCCTCTAGTCTAGTCTCCTAAAAGGCTATTTATCATCTGGCGGGAACGTTCGATAGAACGAAGAAAAATACACTTGTAGCAATATAAGAACTGAATTTACTGGCCACAAATATAGTTCAACTAGTAACTGAAGCAATACGTTGAGGACCGCGTGACTCGATAGGAAGGGGTCTAACATAGCGTATACATTTATAACGAATCACAGTTGGGGGCATATGATGTCGAGGTTTCGACTTCCGCGAGAAAAGTATTGCTTCACCTCAGTCCCAAATATCTTGATGTATGGTGTACATGAAAAACGCATGTTACATCACAATTGGTATTAAAATTAAGTGACGAGAATGGTACAGCATACCCCGCCAGAGTATCCTCACCTCGAAAACCTCCATCGATCTCACTCATATTTACGTGCTGGCCCCTCACATTTGAATTTTGCACCACTAACCCTCACTTCTTCAGGTCTGATGGTCCCTGGTTCACCACCACTTATTCCAAAGACACTCATCAACGAGGATCTTAGAGTATCGTAAACAGCCTGATGAGGAGCGGGCTGGATCGAGTTAATGGTGTGAGTATGGATGAGTCCAGATATAGGCGAAAAACCGTAGGTTGAGTCACTGAAATCTGGTCAGCTGTGGTTTAATGAGGTCCGAAATCTTACATACATTTCCCATTGCCCCCGACCACCACTCACTCGCGTAGTTCCTGTGACGCACAAGCTCACAAATAAACTCTTTTCCCTTCGATGAAAGTTTTTCTCGCGTTTTGCATATGGCTCCTCGCTCTTAGCTTGTGATGATGCAGCAGACTGCACTGTCATTTTCCGCAATGTCACGTGTAAATCAGAGTAAAGCGTCTTCATGGTGTGTCGAATGAACACAGAAGAAGCCATATATAACGGCAAACCTGAGTTAAAAGATGAATAGACGTTGTGAAATGACATGAAGCTGCGCCTACCTTCTATATGCAGTGTTCTTGGAAATGGGGAAGGCAGGGGAACAGGAGGCGTATACAACAGCCGTACTTTAGCACTATATATGCTCTCCACGTCTCCTTTCCCTGACGCTTCTGCAATGACGGGTGCTTTACTTGGGTCAATGTGAGCCACGAGGCCCAGGTGAAAAAATTTTGGAAGGGTTTGCTGGAGGATGTAGATCGCACGACCTGTTTCCAAAACCGAGAACAGATGGTTTCAGTTATGCGAGTTCAAAATATTCGAGGGTTGATAAGAGTATCGGTGAAAGGGAGACTGAGCGTAGCATCAGAGGGTCTCGAGTCGAGTTACTTGGAGGATGAGCGAACCTGTTCGGATTTCCCACTCCTGATCAGATATGTCATCTTGTTCCGAGGGCTCTGGTTCTGAAGGAGAGAACATAGAGGGCATAATCCCTGATGTCATGTGTACCAGACTAGGGTCTTTTGATGCGCAGACAGAGGATGTGACTTGAAATGGTCCAGTTTGAATGGCACGGGATGGTGTAATGATACTGGCGCGATACCTGGCGCGCGGTACATTCCTGTGTGTGAAAGAAAGTTTGTAGCAGCGTGGTTGTGGATGTAGAAGAGGTTGGAGACGTCTAAGGATCATGGCTGTTGGTGTAGGGAACGCGTTCATGAATGGCATGCCGAATTATGTATGATGTTTGGCTGCACCCTTAGAAATAAACAATGTCACGTGACTACCGCCGCGACATAAGGAAACGGAGAGACTAAAGATAAATTGACATGACTTGCCTAAACTTCCTCGAGGTATCCCTGGACAATCAAATGCTCTATATCGGCTCTTCTCACCATAAACCTCTGTCCTTTTTGAAAATCTATGCTCCCTAGTTCCGTCTGAATGACTCCACAATCCCTTGCCACTCTCACCAAAACGTGGAGATCTCTGGGAGGGTGAATAATGCTTGCTGTGATGTCAAGCTCGTTGGAGAAGCCAGCACGATACTCCATGATGGAGGTGTTGTACTGCCTTAGGAAATCAACCTCGTGTGGAGACAATTTGCTTCTAAGGTCTTGGTTGCTCAGCATATGTGGTAGGGCCCCTCCGACCTCCCAGTACATGTCCCTCAGTATATCCATCCTATGTTTGTGATATGCTAGCAGACATCTTTTGTTTCGTACGATCGCAGTTTGGTAGATGAGCATGGATGGTGAGACGATGTCTCCATTGTCGATGAGTTTCTCGAGATCGCGCTGCTCTCGAACAATTGATCTGACGAGACTGTCGTTGTACTTCATGATGGTATCCGTTGCGGTCGACCTCCGCGATTCCATGACAAGCTGGGTAGCAAGATCGCCAAATTGACGCGTCTCAGTCATCGTGCAAGGTAGCAAAGGAGGATGTGTGACCTGTGACTGAATGTGATGGCACGCGTATATATGTCACGTTGGATTACTAAATCCACTAAATTAGCAAAGGACCAGCGCTTGCATCCCAAACCTGACCATCGTCCACTAACATGACAGGATCATCTCACGAATTTCAAGATATCGAAGAGGCGACGACAGCTTTGCAGTAAGCTCACTGATTCGCATCTATATGCTTCAGGTTTACAGCGATTAGGTCACAGCCCGACAATAAGACCCGTAGATATGACCGTCAGCTTCGGTGAGGGGCATTGAATAACCAGAACGATCGATACCGTGATCAACTGAAATATTGTCTGTTTAGTTTGTGGGCAGCATCTGGACAGAGTGCTCTTGAATCATCTCGGATTTTGGTGATATCCGCTTCAGCTACTTCATCTTCCGTCCTCAAGAACCTCGTTCTTCCTGGGATCGGTCACTTCACCATCCTCGATCATGCTTCAGTCTCGCATTCAGATGCGGGAAACAACTTCTTCTTAGAAGGATTCAAAAGCATCGGGAAGTCCAGGGCTGAGGAAGCCGTGCGTCTGCTATCTGAGCTGAATGACGGTGTAGAAGGAAAAGCGGACACAAGGACACTCGAAAGCATATTAGACACACAGCCAGAGTGGTTTGCAACATTCACCCTTGTTATCACACATAATCTCGAGCAGACGATACTCGAGAAACTATCATCGTTACTGTGGTCAGATGACACATACCCACCACTTGCAGTCATACGATCGGCTGGTTTTCTTGCAGAGTTCTTTATCCAATTCCATGAACATAACAGTCAGTTTAATGTTACTTTATTTTTTTTCCCGCTGAAAAGTTGGATATTCCAGTCATTGAGAGCCACTCGGAAACATCGCCTTCTCTTCGCATCGACAAGCCATTCCCGGCGCTATTAGAACATGCATTATCGCTCGATTTGTCTTCTATGGACCCAACTGAGCATGGTCATATTCCGTACGTTACTATTCTTGTTCGTGCACTGGAGGACTGGAAGAAAAAGGTGAAGCCGTTGATCTCCCTGCACGCCACTTGTGATCTCATACTATAAATAAGCACGATGGAAATCCCCCGAAGTCTTACGCAGAAAAAAAAGAGTTCAAACAGGGAATACTTGCACTGAAAGTGAAATATGATGAAGAGAATTTCGATGAGGCAGAAGCGCAGGCGTACCGTTGCTGGAGCGAGACTAAGGTTCGTGGGCATCCTTTTCTCCTCTGTAGCTTACTTATATTACCTTGTTCAGGTTCCTTCTGAAATATCCGCTTTATTTTCTGATCCTAGACTTGCTTCGCTCGGACCAACTTCCCCTCCTTTCTTCCACCTCCTCGCAGCGCTCCGAGATTTTACGCTTTTGCCGCCATATGCACTTCCACTTTCACCAACACTGCCTGACATGAAATCAGATACGAATAATTACATCCATCTCCAGCGTTTGTATAAGACACAAGCGGAAGAGGAGAAACGCGTGTTCAAGAGCTTGCTAACTGTGCCTATAGAAGACTCTTTGGTAGACTCCTTAGTCAAGAATGCACATGCGTTGCAAATCATGCAGGGCAAAAAGTGGGGGACTTTTGATAGCGAGAAAAGTGCTCTGGGTGCGTGTAACCGAGTCATCTAAACTTGAATTGCAATTCTAAGATGACGCCTTATCGACTCATAGTGAACTCCTTATCGGTGTCACCCAAAGAAACATCGACACATCTTGCCCTTTCAGCACTGTTCACCTTGCTCTCTCGCCAACCAGATATTCCTCCTACCGAAGAAGCACTGAGGACTGAGATTCAGTCCGTTATAGGTCAGGGAGTAGAACTTCCTGAACAATTGGACGACGCTCTCGGCGAAATGTAAGTTTCAGAATAATAATCATGTCCTCGAAGTAGCATTCCCTGAACTTTACATAACAGCGTTCGTGCGCCCACTGCTGAATTGCCCAACGTAGCCGCTTTTCTGGGCGGCATGGTAGCACAGGAAGTAATCAAAATTATCACGAAGCAGTATGTGCCAGCGAATGGCTACTGTGTGATCGATTTGATTGAGACTTGGACGGGAGTTATCGGCAACTGACGGGGTAAGGTGGTTTATTCGCGGTACTAGTGCACGTACTATTTGTAAAGTTAGAAATCAGAGAAATGGAACAGACCAAATAACCTGCTCTTTGGGGGCATACCAGTGAGGGAAGGGGTAAGACAATTGAAGGTTAAATCCAGACTTTTATGGCTTGTAAATCATATATTCCATACAACACCTTACTGGCAAGTACTTTCTGGATTCGAAGGTACACAGCGAAAATGTCTTCAAACAATATTGCTGCATTACTGGACTTCGGATACAAGTGACCACAATCTTGAGCCGAGTCCACATTAGATATTCAACGATCAAAAGGCTTGATAAGGTTGGCCCAATAGCCTACGCTCACTGCGTAGGAACAACATGGAATATATGACCGTTGAGCTGATCCCCCGAAATCGATACTAGCAGGGTCACAAGGTTCCCACAAAGACGGTGTGATACCGACCTCCGCAAATCAAAACCATTCATACCATCAGACGAGGCAATTTAGCGAGAGGACTACTGCGACTCTCCGTGTAAGCATCTCCATCTGAAATAGAATCCCTTGTTCAGGTGTGCCTATCCGTGGGGTTATCTGGTATATTTCTGGAATGTATATAGTAGACGTGACGTAGCTTTATTCGCAACTCCTGGACTCTATCTGAGCTGTCACAAGTATAACTGACGTAGCTGTGCAAAACTGACACGGAGAACATCAGAACGACTTCCGATTCACTCACGCGGAACTTGTTGAGGTACACACCTGAGTGAGTAGTAGTACGTACTAGACAAAGTGACAGAGGGATTTTTGCCACGAGGATACGAGCGACCACTGACACGGACATTATGAATAGTGATCTCCTGAGAGTTTCGGGTCGAATTCTACTGTAAAATAATATTGGCTTACTTGTACCTGCCCGAGTTCAGTGTGGGGCAAGCAGGTGGGTCGTAGCATGTGGATCTAAACAGGATAATTTTCTGATGAGCAACCAGCGACGAGAGACTACTTACTACTATTCGAGTTTTCAAGTTTAAACCGCGGTTCTAGAGAACCACCTTTTAGTTATGATTACGATAAAAATGATCGCGGCCACTCGAGCGGTTGAAAGTTGAACCATGGTCTTCGAAGCCTTCCATATAAGCTTCAGGTTCAATCGAGGTTTCCTTATTACAGAACAACCGCCAATACTGATGTCGTTTTGGGAGTTATAAGTATAACCAAGTACTAGTTATCCGATGATACGGTACCTGGAATAAATTCCGAGAGTCTCAGCCACCACTCTACTGGATTGAGTCATTTCGCTGCTTCACCAAAGCAAGCCTTTCCGACTCGCCCTGGACAGTTCAAACTGGCAAACTGAAACTTTCCTCAGTTCCAACGCCATGCACTTTGACTGGCTATGCATTTCTCCAAAACATATGCGCAGCTACTCCTCACGTTACCTCCAGAATTGCGGGATAACGCTATAGAATATCGCCAGGTCAGTACTGCCTATCTCTTCAGCCCACAAATGTACTCAGTTTCGTCATTTGTAGCTAAAGAAGCTCATCAACCAAGTTGTGAATGAACTCTCCTCTTTGGGTCTGAGTCCATCTGTTCTTCAGCAGCTGCTCGAGCACCGAGAAACCGCCAGAATCGGAAACCTCGACGACGTCGAGCTTGATAGTCACACGACCAGCGACAACACCCATAATATATTTCAACCGCTTCACCCTCACGTTGTATACGAATTTGCGACCACGTCGACTTTTCTTGAGCCTCGTTTGCGCCTGTCCATTAAACATCCATCATCTGATCTGCACACTGAAACAGAAGTGGCATGTCCCCCTAACGTGCTCACAACGGGTACAGCGCAAAACGGGCTGCTCGCAGACCTGCCAAGCGCAGTATCTAACAGGATTCTTCTGGCGCTCTCTCGTCAATTTCCCCTGGAGTCACTCGAACAGCCTAATGGCTCCGAACTTACGCTGGACTCTTTGACGAATTCGTCACAAAAGTATGGTTCACCTTATTTTCTCTTGCTTCCTACTAAAGCCATGATGATAGTGAAACTTGTGACAGCACCCATGAGCTTGTGATACCCCTTATATCAGACACAGCATTCTTTCGTCTTCTCACTACAGCCCTGCAATCGCTCTCCACTCACCTTGTCACCGTTCATTCCGATTTCACAACTACGCTACAGTCGCTCTCGCTATCAATCTCCCATGCCGCACGTCCCACATCGTCGACTTCTTCCTTCCATCCCCACTCTCCTGTATCTAATAATACCTACATTTATCCGAGTTCCATTATCACACCAGGCGTCAAATCGGACCTATATTCGTGGCGCGAGATCTTTCAACTTTATGTTGAAGCCGAGGTATTTGAGGGAATTGGAGAGATAAATAGAGGCGAGCGAACTGTCGAAGAGTCAGAAAAGCGACTGCGCCTATTTTCTGAACGTGTATCCCAGAGAGGTCTTGACAGTAAACAAAAGTTGAAGCTGAAACAAAGTCGAGATGCGTTGGGAACATTCCTCAAACTTAACTTCTTCATCCTGGACTTGAAAAAGGTGAGTGTATCGTCTATCGTTCCGCTACCTGCTTAGCTTATCCCATGACAGTTTCAGCTCGCGAATGCCGAAGCGACTCGCAAAATACTGAAGAAGCACACGAAACGTACGGCGTTACCATTACCTGCGTTCGCATCAAATTTAGCAAGATGGAATGGTCCACTTCCACCAGCTGAACACACGCCATCTATTTCTGACCTTGCCCTGATTCCGACAACTTCCACTTCGCTACCACGCCTATTTGTTCAAGCCATCGGGGAGACTCTTTTGCCTATAGTCCCACACATCGATGATTATGCCTGTCTGATCTGCACGAGCATTGCGTTCAAGCCCATACGCCTTGCATGTGGCCATCTCTTTTGCGTTAGGTGATTACTCTCGTTCATTCTTTCTAGTAATCATAGAAACTAACCACACTTCTTCAAGGTGCCTCGTCAAGCTTCAGAAGAGGGGCAAGGCAAACTGCCCAATGTGTCGCGCACCGACTGTGTTAACCGCGAATCGCTGTAAGGATACTCTATACAGAACATATTTTTTAAAGCTTACACTACTTTTACAGCAAATGTCGATTGGGCTTTGATAAACTTCATGGAAGATTGGTTCCCCGTCGAATCCAAAGCAAAGCTAAAGCAGAATGAACGTGAGGCGGCCGAAGAAGAGTTCGAGGAGCTCGGATTACGCATGCAGTCTTGTATGGTGATGTGAGTGCCTCAGATGTCATGGTTGATATATTTGGAATGGCTTGTCTCCGGCTGTTCTCAAGAAATTTGTGGGTGTCTGGTGAATTTTATAATGCTTATTATTATTGGAAGACTTATGCTATGGCATTGCATTGCGCTTTACCACCCAGTGCCTCTTTTCTTGCCCGCCTTGTTCGTATTTATCTCGGTATATACCAAGGGATGGATTCTATATTTATATATATATAATGTACCTTACGGTAGATTCTCAATATACACGAACAGGATCAAGTATGTATGGTGTTGGAGGTCTCAGTAAACGATAGTGCAACTTGAAGTGATAGGCTACATATCTAAAGTCAGCCGCAGCCTACTCGGCCAATTTAAAAGTACTCGGCAATAAGCGTAGCTGTGGCGCAAATTAGTTCACCTTGTCATGCTTATTTTCATTCATTCCAGTTACTGTCAATGTTCCGCCTGGTTTGTCAATGGCACAATCCTCTAAGGACGTACGGCTATAGATATCTCGGAACAGTCTCAACACCAAAGTCGCATAACTCTCCCAGTGCAAACGCTATGCAAATAGAGCAAGACGGTGCTCGTATCCTGCGCGCCGTCAGAAAACGCGTGGAAATTAGAAATGATCTCCTAACAAAGGTGAGTCTTCTTTTTCTATACCAATAGAATATATGAAACATATAGGCGCGTCGAAGATGTCAGACGACATGTCGTCTGCTGTGGACATCACGCGAGCGAAGCAAATCAAAGAGCTGGAGCCTTTACAGGACGCATGGGTTTCATGGTCGCATGCTCGAGATGTCAGTCGTTTTTTCCTACCCAAATACATTACTTGACGGGTTTGTACATCGTAGTAGTCTCTACAAGAGACTATACCCTTACTAAGTGACGAAGATCCAGCCATGCGTGCCCTAGCGTCTGAGGAATATGTCTCGCTCACAGAAACACTCTCGGAACACGTACATTCTGTATTCCCAAAGCTTCTCGTGCCTTCTTCATCAACACGACATCTATCTGCAATGCTGGAATTCAAGTCAGGCGTCGGCGGTTCCGAGGCTTCCCTCTTCCTTGCGGATCTGTTGAGGGTATATGTACGACATGCGAATGCGAACAGATGGAAAACGCAAGTGATTGCAAGTAATGAGACAGATGGTGGAGGCGTTAAGGATGCGATACTAGAAATCAAAGGGGAAGGCTCGTATGATGCGCTGAGGTGGGAAAGCGGAGTGCATCGCGTACAACGGGTACCTGCTACCGAAGCAAGTGGACGTACGCATACAAGTACGGTCGCGATCGTAGTACGTTTGCTATGCTGGTGCATAAAAATATCACTTTACTCAATCTTCTTTAGGTCTTACCATTGACAGAGGAAACGGACAATTTCAGTAGCGGCGATGATATCTTTTCCATGGATGACGTGAAGATCGAAGTCATGCGTGCACGTGGGGCAGGTGGACAGGTATCTTTGGGAACATCATTATCCCTTTTATCGTTTCTTACAATGATGAATGTAGCACGTCAACAAAACAGAGTCTGCGGTTCGTTTGACCCATGTCCCGACTGGAATAACAGTGTCGATGCAGGACGAACGGAGTCAACATCAGGTAGGGGTAGACTTTTGCACCTCGGGACCGGTGGATGCTAATGCTGTGTTCAAACAATGCTGCTCGATAGAACAAGCGCCGCGCTTTCCAGGTTCTTCGTGCGCGTCTCATGGACATCAAACTGACGAAAGAAATGGAGGATCGCCGTGCTACTCGACGTAATCTCGTCCGTGGTGCAGACCGCAGTGAGAAAATACGGACGTATAACTACGCACAGGTATTCCACTCCATCCCTTGTATTAATCTTTGTCAAGTCAAGCTTTTTCTTCTTCAGGATCGCGTGACCGATCATCGTCTTGGCCTGTCGTTGATGAATCTGACTTCTTTGTTGGAAGGCGATGGTTTGCAGGATTTTATTGATGCATTGAAGAGAAGTCACGATGAGGACTTGATGGAGGAGATTGTAGAGGGGTTGTGAGGCTAGAGGTGTGCTTTACTTTTTTTAGATCCGAATTCGTTGTCTGTTCGGCTAATCACATTGCTTGGCGAGATCTCTCCTCGCGGTAAAATTAGGTGTGCCTTGTTTTATTCCCGTTGATAAAACCTATTCACACATGTGTACGTGACTTTAATTAGGGAGACTGAAGGGTTTAAAAGATTTCTTAAACCAATTAAAGCGATTCAAAATATTTAACTATATCGATTACGCTGGAACAGCATAAGTGTAAGTGAGCACCGCATATATATATATTTGAACATCGGATTTTTATGAGTGGCAAATAAAAATGACACAAAAGTCACACACAATTAGTGAGAACAGTGTTTTTTTTTAATCCTGCACTGGCTTGCGTAGACTTATGCTCCATACTGCTTTTACTGGCGACAGGATGGTCTGATCGACATTGAATGAACCGTACAAGTTTACAGAGTCAACTGCATCCATGATCACCATCCATAGTTGTGGCGGTGGGGTGATATTCTTCGCGCGACTGATACCTCCCCGAACGAAGCTCTGAAGGATGTTGTTAGATTCCGATTGGCAACGGATGAGATCCTTGATCGAAGATATTGTTGTTGGTATTGTTCTCCCTCTTGGTGGAGGTGCTACTGGTGCTTGTATAGCAGCTCTGCACGCCGGTATACCGTGACCCTATGCAGCTTCCATTGACACTGCTAACCGTCATTGTTTTTGGCTGCTATATAGACGTAAGCTCGAATCGCAACCTGGAAGTTTACGCTTGCACGCTGTTAAAGGAAATGACGGGGAAGTTTTCGAAGGCAATATAGATCAATGATCACGGGCGTTGGTGGCGGGCGGTTGCGTGTCACACTTGTTTGCAGCACATCCAGGCGAGATATTTGGTCGAGCTCTCCAACGGTGCAGGACTTGGAAATGCACTCGTTAGGTCATCAATGCCGCGGAAGAACTGGACAGCGGCGTGCATTATATTTGTCATTGGAATTTCTTGTTGTTGTCTATATGCGAACAAGGGAGTCTGGAGGTTATTCAAAGGTACTGACAAGACAAAATGTGCGTACTCACTCGAAGTCAAGTCAATAGTTGTTATCACTCTCCACTCTATCGCTATCTCTCTCTCGGAAAAATTTCCCCAGCTCCCTATCCACAGCTTTCTTCACAGACAGGCCCGATGAAGATCGATACACGAGCGCAGTTTGTTCACTGGCAGCAGGAGGCTCAACTATTTGAGGACCCACCAGCTTGCCATAAAATGGTCTTCTTTATTCTATCGCAATTTTCTGTCGACGTCTATGATTTTTTTTGCCAAGCGCATCTGCTTCTCATTGAGTAATTCTGGGTTTCTGGGAGTCTTGGCTGTCGTCTGCGATAGTAGGGCAGTCAGCTATTGATGTTCACCATGGGGACATCTAACGATATCAAAGCAGTCCCATGACTATTCTCGTGCGTATGAATTTGTTTTGATTTTAGTCAATAAATCTGCATATTCAGCTCGAGACTATCCGAAACTGGGAGACTCCTACTCCATTTAATTCCCGCCAGCCACGGATGGGGTCTATGTAAGTGGGCGAAAGTACACTGCGTCACGGTTACTCGGAGATGAAAGGATCAAAGAGTCGTCAAACGAAGGGCGAGGGCGCTACACGCTGACTGGACAGTACACCGTTGGACATATTCGAGCCATCGGATTTTTTGGCCATACGGATGCGACGTTGAACCAGTGACAACGATGCACCATGCTGTATGGAAGGATGCCATGATGGTGATACAAAGGTAAGTAGATAGCAGTGTCGTTCACCTCATGTTCCTATAACTGAATAAAATGAGGCTGTTTATGAGAATATCTTGGAAGGAGTGTTGGTTTGCTGTCAAGGAAGCAGTGTGAGTTCTTATTGAACACTATCAGCAATAGACTAAATTAGTGGTGCCATAGTGGAAAGCAGACTCTTCCGACAAGCGCAGGCAGCAGTGTAGTACGCTGTTTGCAAATACCAAGCGCTGATACGGACATTACTCTAACGTGATAATTAGCGCTTCCGCTGACAGATGCGCATGTCCACATTGTTTATTCTGTGCTATGATAACATTCGAATACAACACAGGATATCATACAATCCTATCGATATAAAGCGACCTTGCAAGTTCTCCTACGACTTGTCTGACTCGCTCTCTTGAACTAACAATGTCGACCTTATGTGCAACCTCCGCGGATTTTCAGTTTCAGGTGATCAAAGTATGTATTTTTAGCTCGAGCGAATAATCGTGGATATTAAAATTAATCTCCGATCCATCAGTATATAGACGGTGCGTCTCCCCCACACTGGCTGGAATGAACCAGAGAGGTTAACTGTAATGTACTCGCAGTCGCGTGTCTGCCAATCCTAGTATGTTTTTCAACTATGTCATATCTATCTATTCAAACTATCCATGGTTTAGATTCTGCAATACTGCCATACCCTTGAAGATGAAGTAATTTTTTTTCACTCATTCCATCGTCCATCTTCGTTTTACTCAGATATATGTGCTAGATTGATTTGATCTGGAAATCAAGGTGGAACCTCGCCAAATTCCTCTATCTTTATTCTCGTTACAATGTGTTCGTCTTTATCGTCCCGGTCTACGTAGGTGCATAAGTGGTCCGTCTGGGAAATAAAACAATTCAATAACGTGTTTATAGTGAGCAATGCTCCTGGCTTATCCACAAGGGTGTGTTCAATACGCTGGTTGTTCTTCTGCTATACTAATATCATGTCTGTAGATGTGCCAAGCGGCAAATTTGACCTATGTAGGTTAGTATATGACTTGAATGGTTTTCGCCATTTTAGCTAACTTGTCGGCAAAGGAGTCGCAGTCAGTGGTGCTACTGTCGGAGAAGGTAAGACTATCGTTTGGTCGTTCTCTAAAGGTATATTGCTTATGTTGAAGCACTACAGCTATTCTGGTTATTCGGACATGTGCCATTTGGGCAAAGACCAAAAAACAGCGCATTTGGCTCGTGTCCCTATACCTGGTTAGTTCGAGTTTTACGATTTCGTTCTTTCACTGTGTTGACTATTAACCTAGGTTTTTGTTGTGATTATATTCGTGCTTTCCATCCTATGTGTGCGGTCCGTTGTCGGTGGGTCTGCTCCTCCCTTTTATCTTCGCCAAGTTTCAGTTATAGAATTCAGAAGAAAAAGTTGTCCCAATAGCAGGTACTTCGGGGTGTAATGACGCCATACTCCAAGGAACTGTGGTATACCCAGTGGCTGTCGTCGCGTGCATGCTATTTCTGGAAACCGGTAAGTAAACCTCGTTCACTCTTCTCCACACTTAATATTTGGCAGCTCATATCTACCAATCTACAGTCCTCTTGACACTTTTGGTTTATAGAATCGTCGATGCTCATCGTGATACCAAGAGTCCTCTGATACGAACTCTATACAGAGATGCGATTATACTCTACCTATGCATTTTAGGTAATTCATTGAGCTGATCACTGATTTACTATTGGAAGTTGAGTTGACGGAAGGGTTCACACATATCTAGTGTTGTCCATCGCAAATCTTATTGCTTTTGCAGTTTTTCCCGTATGTTTTCTCCCTCTCATCTCCAGACACATCACTCAGCTCACCTCATATAGCCGAGCGCAAAACTCGCCATTGACACGTATGTGGGATCTACAAGAATATCTCCAGGTTTAAAAGGTTAATCATATATGTAAAATTTATTTTTTTTCCAGGCTGTACTTCTGCATGCATAGCATTCTGTCGTGCGCTGTCATTCTTCGATTACGCTGTGCCAATTCTAGTGTGGATGAGATGTCGTATGTACCATTTCGATCGATGGCACTTGGCGTTGCGATCCGTCAGTACGGTCACATTCGGTCGTTTATTATGCCTACATCCACGAGAGAAGCGGTCTCAACGGCAACTCCCGTGTAAATGAAGAATATCGAAGCTTTTGTTCGGATTTTCACAAGTTTCGCGGGTGACTTTTTGTATTACGGTTGATGATAGACTACTCATTTAGTTATTTCCATCCCATTCATGCCGTACTGCTACCATCGGGTGTTGATGTAATACTGTCGTTAACTGTCAGTTCAGATGGGGGGGGGGCTATTCGGACATTTCTGAAAACATACGTTCCACTGTCATTTTTCCTCAACAACTCAACCTATAGCAGTTCTATATATTCTTACCACTTACTCCAACTTTCCTAGCACAAAATCCTGAATTATTGAGTAAGTTCCTTCCATGTGCGTGACTTTCGAGAAAGTAACGCTCTACTAAGGTACTGCAATCTCAGTTTCAAAAAGTTCAGGTGTGCCACACTCAAGATCATGTTCAACCACTGATAGTGCCGAGCGGAGCTCCAACTCGGCTTGTGTGACCTCTGTGACGTCCGAATACCCATCTGAACTGACGGTTAACGACAGTAGTACCAAAACTTCATTTTTCTTTCGCCAATATCATGTTTTTGATTCCTTATGAACGAAAAGACCCTATCCATGGTGCTCTGATCTTGATCGTGCGTAACGCCAATGAGAGCAGAGAAAGGCAGGTCGCCAGAAAACGTCAGACGATAGTGGACCGTAGTGGCAGCCTTATAATTATTGGAAAACAGTCTCTCGAAGTGTAGGAATATCTTATCAGATGATTGCGTCATGTTCCTTGTTCTATCCTGGCCGATGGTGGGTGTATGACAGATCTACTGCACCGTTCAAAAGCTTTTCCGAGTAGAGTAATAGCGCAGAACCAGATAAAATCGGAACAACAGGTTCTGCCACCTCTGTTTCTTGAAATCGGATCGAAAAGTGCAGTCTAAAAGCCAAAATCCGATGTGTTTGTAGTAACTGATGTTCGTTTATCTTGGGTGCGTATAGTTCGGTTATACGAATCCAGTAGTTGACAGTGCCAGTGTGAGTTGAGGGTGGTACAGATCCACAACTTCGGGTTGAATATCGTTTTGGATACTGTCATTGGAACCCTGCTCGGGGATATTCTGGAGTCGTTTTATCCTAGGACATTTGATTAACGCATAAGATGCCAGGGTTTTCCAACAATGACGAGTTGTGATAGATGAAGAACATACAGTCGAGAAAGAGAGCAGAAATGATGTTGAGAGAAGAGGTGGCGGAGATTTTGGTTTATTTGTGACAAGTGGCTGTAAACATGCTCAATCCATACAGCTGAGCGCGTCAAAAGGTTTACTTGGACTCTAGCTTAGTGCACAACACGGGTTTCAAGGACTACTCACCCCCCACACCCACCGGAAGTGCTTACAAGTTCACCGTCACTACGAATCTCTACACTAACGCACAAGCAAACGGAGCTCACCTTCGTAGTGTCCGCAGGTAAGCACGGCGGATGAGCTTTACTGCTATATTGACTCTGAACCAGCTACACAGCCAATTGAAGAAGCGCTTCTTTTACTGTATACTATGGATCACTTGAATCCAACTCAAAGAGAGGCTTTGAGTCAGCTACAGGCTATAACCGCTGGAAGTGACGCCGAAGTGACGCTAAGTGTTCTTGAGAGCGTCGACTGGGATGTGCAGGTACGTTTCGTCTCGTTGAATATTAGCTCTAGCATAACTCACAGCTACATATAACCCATACAGAAAGCAGCCGAGCTTATATTTGACGGCCCACCGCCTCAGAGCAGCAATGCGCCAGTATCACCGGAAGGGACAGAACATACCCGAACGATCATGGAAGAGCTAGCCATAGACGATTCTCAACAAGGTATAGACGTCGATAGGTCCTGGCGGCCCAACGGAGGCACTCACAGAGTAAGTTCTCCTCGCAAGGGATTACGTCACTTTAACAAATATCATTCGCAGCCCAATACATCAATCTGGAATTCCCTTCTCTCCTTTTTTTCTCTGCCCTTCCACGTGTTGAGCAACACCATCAGATTTCTATTCGGTATTTTGCGTATCTCTATACCTTCTCTGCACTTCACAGGCCTACATAACTATCGTTCCGTCCGTACCGGTCCATCAGATCACCGCAGCGTTACCGACCGTTGGGTACGATCACTGGAAGAGGAGACAGGAGCGCTTTCTGTCAGCTCACGCACACCTAGCGGCATATCTGCCTCCGGTGCTGAGGCTGGTCCCTCGAGCATAATCTCCCGCACTGGATATGCCTCGGACGAATTGTTCGAAGAAGGCAGAAAGGTCCTACCCGATTTCTTTTTGGGAAGCTATGAGGACGTGTTAAATGTTTGTCAACGGGAAGGCAGGGTAGCTTGCATCGTCCTCGTAAGCGAAGAACATGATGATGTCCCAGAGTTCAAAAGGTACGAACAATGACTCGCGCAAGAGCTGTTTTTTGAAGCTTTCAAACAGTAGTAATAACCTGGCTTGTCTGCATTTGATTCTAGGTCAACGCTGACTGATCCTGCGCTCGTGAAAGCGTTGCACGACGGTAATTTCGTCATCTGGGGAGGCGACGTCAGGGATAGAGATGCATGGAGCGGTAAGATTTACTCTACTCTCCCTACGACTAGTACTCACACATACCACACAGCTGCACAAAAATTGCAAGCCACGACCTACCCCTTCGTCGCATTCATCGCCCTCCAACCACGCCGCAACCACTCACACACACCTACACCATCACAATCAGTCGCCTCTCCTACCCTTACCGTTCTCTCCAGGCACCAAGGCCGGAGCGTGCCTGACACAGCCCCAACCTCCGCCGCCACGCTTCTCAACCACCTCTCGCAGCAGCTCCTGCCCCGCGTTACCCCTTTCCTTGAACGCTTCAAAGCTTCGATTAGGGAGCGCGAGCGCGATAGGATGCTGCGTGAGGAGCAGGACAGGGCGTTCCAGGACTCTGCTCGGCGTGATCGGGAGCGCATCGAGGCTCGGATAGCTGCTGAGAAGGCGGAGAAGGAGCGTTTGGAAAGAGAGAGAGAACAGGCCAAGAAAGAAGAGGAAAGGGCCGCTTTGGAGAGAGAAAAACAGGCGAAGAAGGATGAGGATAGGATGGAGTGGAGGAGATGGATGAGGAGAGACGTCGTCCGTGCTGAGCCGCAGAGTCAGGATCAGGGGCGAGGTAAGAAAGGCGGGCTTCGACTTGCCATACGGCTTCCGCAGAACGAGCGGGCGATACGATACTTCACGCGCGAGGATACGTTGACACAGCTATACGCCTACGTGGATACAATGCTGATACCCCCCACATGCTCACCCTCCGGCGACCCTAAGCAGCCTCCTGGAGTGGCGACAGGTAGCGTGCAAGTTCTTGAAGAGCATGTGAGCCGTCAATTAGAAGGCGTCGACGCGTGGTGGGGGTTCAAGCTCGCGCTTGCCTACCCCAGACAGGAAATTCGATGGGAGGCGGGGAAGAAGCTCTGTGATGTGGATGGACTTGGGGATGGCGGACAGCTTGTGGTGGAACTTGTCCACAATAGTAGAAAAGTCAGCGTACCAAGTTCCACTGTGGGGAATAATGGTAATGGTGACGACGGTTACGATACGGAGAGCGATGAAGAGTAACTATATGTATTGGGATCCACATGTTCAGTCAGCTGTTGTCAAAGACATCCTTAACTTTATCACTTTACATAGAGTTTGTTTGACGAAGCGGGCCTTTCGGACGTTGTCCGTCCACCATCAAGATCGGCAAGATTAGACGAAGTAAAAATCAAGAGGTTTATAGTATCAGATACAACATCGTACAGTGGCTCGCACATGTAAGGAGGAGACGCTGATATCAATGTTGTTAGGTCGTTAGGTAGTAGGTATAAACACGATACAATCAAAATCAATCTCCATTACACGCCAACTCTCCCTCGACTACTGGCTCAGAATGGTACGTACAAAAGACTCGTAGTTCACATTCCCATCACTGTCGAGAATCCCAGAGTGAGTTTCGTTGTCGTCCAAAATTGGAGATTTCAGGTAAACGGCTCACCTTCCGATCTGCACTCCCTTGAGAAGTTCATCCACTTCTTCGTCCGTCATCTTTTCTCCTAGTTGCGTAAGGACATATCGTAGTTCGCCTGCACCAATGAAACCGTTGCCTTCTTTGTCGAAGACTTGGAAGCCGCGAATAAACTCCTCTGGTAGTGTGCGAATTGGCGGGTGGCAAGTGAAACAAAGTCAAAATGGTCAGCGACTGGGAAGATAAAAGGGATTGCAATATGACGGCTGATCAGGGAGAAGAGAAGAGAAGACAGCAACGTCGCCACCTTCCCTCCACCTCATGCGCTCTCGAGGCAAGGCGAAAAAGAGAGAAGAGCAAGTCTCACCTGGTGTTCCAGCAGGCTTAAATCCATCTGGACGATTCAAAATTGCCAGGAACGACTTGTAGTCCACTGAACAAGAGGCATGCGGGGTGTAGGAGGTTGATGATAGGTTTCAAGTTTCAAATCGTTCGCATTCGTCCAAGCGCCGCAAAGTCCCGCCGGACGGATGATACGACAAAGTCGCAGGGAAGGATAGCACGAGAAACGCGTATTCGAAGCAATACGAGGCAAGAGCACAGTGGTTTTCGTGGATGTGGAGGGTGTCATTGAAAAAGTTCGTACATTGAGCGAGGAGCAGTTTGAAGAGTGGCAAAATGGGGTGTCGTCGTTAGTGAAGCTGAAAGGGTGCGCGGTGCGCGGAGGGGGGGGGGATAAGCTCACCATCTCTGGGTGCGGATGCGACGATATCTGCCACCTCGCTCTGAGTCGGATTCTGGCCCAAAGCACGCAACAGATCGCCCAATGTTTCGCGAGGCACTGCGCCTGTTCCCTTCTTGTCGAAAAGGGCAAACGCCTCTTTGTATTCTGCACGCGGTGGAGATGGCCGTGTATAAACGGAGGGAGGTATCCAGTGAGACTGGGGTTTAGAACGAGGACAAGGGTAAGGAAAGTGGGCTCGAACCTGCGTTATCACTCTTTGAAACTACCGTGAGCATCGTTGTTGGGGAGAGAGGTGGGGGGTGAGGCTTACCATCGTTGTTGCGGTTTGCAGTGGGACACTGACGGATGTTTTTGTGGGGTGGACGGTCTGAATTATCTATGATCCAAATCTCTCCAAGTGCCAGTGAATCTAGTATCTAGTTACGTAAGCAACGAGACTGGTTTCATTTGGCGGTTCGCGAGACAACGAGTCACAGGTTGAAGTGATTTACTGGCATTGACACAAAAGACATGACACGAGATATCTCAGTCTTGGTATCACTGTAAGGCACCCCCTGTCGTTGGTTCTCTGGAAGATACTGTACGGCGTTCAATGGTTTTCTAAAATGAATTTTCAAATTTTAAAATTCAGTATTGGCCCAAGTCTTTACGGAGATGAAAGATATCCAAAACATGATATTTAAATTTAACAAACACGCAAAGTTCAATTTATAGATTTCAAGTAGACAATATTTCCTACTCCATAAATCCTCCATAATCATATGACATGCAGCATATCAGGTACTTATCAGATGGTAAAGCACAGACCCTCTGAGAATCGATGAACACGTCCAAACATCCAAATGGATCACAACGTTCAAGTTCCAACCAGAATCAACGGAGCTGAGCCGGGAGCCTATCCGCGATCTACGCAAAGCAAAGCAAATCAAACGTCGTCAGTCGAATGCCCGTGACTGCATGACACAAAACGGCCTCTTTAATTCGAAAAAGGGCGACTCACGTCATCGGTGGGAAGCACCCATTTATCGCGAGGAAGACCAGCCCCGAGGGACGAGCCCATCCAGAACATCAGCATCTGGATGATATTGGGCGTAGGGATGGTTGAGGGGGTACTGTCGATGTTGGATACATAGGCCTCGATGGGTTCCGTCACCGTTGCGACGCGGCAGTCTGTGGGGGCGGCCAGGCGGTTAGGTTGGTTGGGCGCAGATCAGGTCTGAGCGTGCGGCGACCCTTACCTTTGCTAAAGTTACCAAACGCCCAGTGATGATACGTGGTAACGACAAAGTACTGTGTATTTCCCGGAGCGCACAGGTCCCAGAGCTACACAAAGGGAAGAAGGGGGTTGAGTTGGCTGTACGTCCTCATGTGTCATGAGCACAGGAGAGTAGACCTACCAGTGCCCATAAGATGGTGCATGCATGATGTGGTGTAGCATCTGGAGATAACTCCAGCGACTCTTTTCCTTGCTATGACGCGCACAAGGAGGCAGGCTCGTCAGCCAACGTAGAGAATTATCAATCGGGGAAGGAAGACTCACCACGCCCTCTCGCGTAAATTCACAGAATTCGTTATAATCAAACTGCCACGGGGGGACTACGACAATGACCATAGACGTGCCTTCGTCTCCCGGCTACAACACGCCACCACCACAAGATCCACCAGAACCCGTCAGCCCGAGATCCAAAAAAGTCGGGAAAAAGAAAAAAAAAAAAAAAAAAAAAGACGAAAAGCCCAGATCACGTACCACTTCCAATATATCCCATCTCGCCCCATCCACCTTCGGCATATAATACGTCTCATAGAACGTCAGCTTCGCCCGCCACGTTTGCGGCGCGGAGTCGAAGAACCTGCTCATGACTTCGATGATCGTGAACATGGTGCAGCCCATGAGGAGCTTCGTGATGTCGGTGACGCGGTTCACGTCCCGCTCGAGGAAGACCATGTTTTCCTCGTCGACGTCGACGACGTCTACGCTGGGTAGGTACAGGAAGTAGGACTTGTGGTTCGGGTCGATGATCACGTTCACGTCGGGGAGGTCGCGGTGCCCTGTGTGCGGGGGGGGGCGTCAGCGATGGATCCACATGGTCATCATCATCACTGAATGCGAGAGGGGGGCAGGGTGTGAACGTACATAATTGAGTCGCATAGCCGAACCTCTCCTGCGGGATACGCATCATCACACGGAGCGTCCTAACCCCAGGGGTAGCACGCAGCTCGGGATACACAGGCCAGTTCCAGTCGGGGGTGGCGCCGGGGCCGAATTTGTACGCGGGCAGCCAGGCTCCTGCGACGTACTTCTTGAGGGGGTACGGGATCAGGGCCTCCTTGGGCGCGTCGTCGGTCTCCCCCTCGGAGTCGGAGTCCATGGAAGAGGAGGAGGAGGAGGAAGACCATTCGGACACGCTGGCGCCGTCGGGGACGGTGTCGCCCCCGTCAGAGCCTACCATCTCCGTGTCTGCGTAGTCTGAAAACTCGGAAGGCTGGGGCGACGGGGACCTTTTGAACATGACCCTTTTCGGCATAACTGGGGAAAGAAGTCGAGTGTTTGGCGAGAACTTGTGGGGTGGGAGGGACTGAGTGAGCGATGCGGTGCGGTGCGATGGGATGGGATGGGGAGGAGGAACGGCGCTCGGGGCGCACCTTTTATTCGCGATTCTGCATGGACAAAGCGCGCTGTCCAAGCGGTGTGCGTGTGTGGAAGGGGGGGGGGACAAAAGAAAGGTGGAACGGGGGGCCAAAGCGCGCTCGGGGCCATCTATCTGAGACTGGCATTCTCGGCACCTCCGTGACCAGGAGCTATGGCCCTCATCCGCTCATCCCAAAGACGGGGTTCCTGGCCCCAAACGCTCCCGAGACTCGGACGTTATCTATCTATCTATCGAGGCATCAGGTCCTTCGTTGGCGTTGGTGTTGGGAGCGACGATGATTCAAAGCTCCAAGCTCCGAGGTTCGAGCTGCCAATTGCAAGGGACCGCAGGTACTGCACGCTTTGATATTGTTCCGAGGTTTGGACCAAGTTAGAAGGGTTCACCGTAGACAATCAAAGCAACGGCCAAAAGTCGTCCTGCGCATGTGCACGTCAAAGCAAACAACCCTCCAAATTGCTTTGCTTTGCCCCGGAGCGGAAGCCATTAACACCTAGCCCACGTGGCTGTGCATCACCAAGCATCCAAAACCGTCTTGTTGATTCAGAATTCAAAAGTGTCACCATACAATAAACGCGAAGAACAGATGCCAAATATCCTGTTTTTTTTCTTCTCTTTCTTTCAAATTTATCCGCTCAGAAAAAGCAGTATTGTATTTTTGTCACAATACCCAAAATTGTTGAACAACCGCACCAACTTCAACCACTGCGACCGCAACCGCAACCGCAACGTGTGCGCGCGCGCCCCGGGGCAGTACGGCGGCACACGCCCAAGCAGCGCGAAAAAGAGCGTGCAAAAAAGCGACTACGACCGCCTGAACCGATCCAGCGCAGACGGCTTCCGCGGCTCCACCTCTCCCTTCTCGATCGCCTTCGCCACGCGTTTTTCCTCCTTCTGCTTCTCGAGTTTCGTGCGGATGGCGACCTGCGAGAAAAAACAAAGCGTGAGATCATCCATCGTCAAATCGATACCGAAAAGACACGCGTGAGCGTGGGGGTGGAAAGATGGAAAGATGGAAAGATAGAGGGTGGATACGCACGGCGGTGGGATCGATGACGTTCTTGCGCTGCTTTCGCAGGTATCTATCAACGATCATGTCAGCTCAAGTGAGGGGGGTAAACGCCACATCATCCACCCACCTCTTCATACTCTTCCCCTTGCCGCGCATCTTCCTCTTCTCCCTCTCCTCCCTACTCTGCTTCTTCCCGTTATCGTCGCCCGCACCCCCGTCGTCCCCCCGCCCCCGGCCGTCTTCCGCCACCTCCGTCTCATCCGCCAACCCCTGCACGCGCAGCCTCTCCAGCCGCGGCAGCCGCGCGAACGGGATGTCGACCGTGTCGTGCACGGCGGTGGTCAGTTTTGTAGGCGGCGCCAGGGAGCCGACGAATTCGGGGTCGAGGGATATCATGTCGGGTTG